GACTACTGGAGGCCTTGGCATCAGACTCCAACTCCATCAAAAGGCATGTGGATATACCGTCCTGTTATTTTGCCATCCGTGCTCGTGATCAGAAACTACGACCCATTTCCTGTCTAAGCACGCAGGCTGCCACGTCAAGGTCACCCGCCACAACTCCAGGGACGCGCGCGGGGGAGACACGATAAGATGGCGTGAGCATGGACGTGGCGTGGGCATGGACCAATCATAATTGCCACCCCCTCCCACCCCCATTTACACGTAGCCAACGTTTACTGCTTTCTTATTTTTTCTGACGATGGCTTCTCGTGTGGAGCCGAAAGCTCAGAAGAATAAAAGTGTAATTCCACAGATCGAATCTTCTTCCTATTCTTCTTCTTCTTCTTCTTTACAGACCTTAGATTGCTCAGAAGCTCAGGTCTATTTCTATCCAATTTTTCTATGAGGGGTTTTTCCCACCAGCGTGTCCCCCAGCTTTTCCTCTGCGCGTTTCTTGCTTTATTCGAGCTCTTACAGGTGACTTAATGTTCGAACTTCACGGACGAAGTGAAGAAGGAGTGAAGGGGGAGGCGTGCTCTAATGACGGTACGCTAAAACCGATTTATATTCAGAACTCCAACTATGTAACGCAAATGATAACGTTCTCACAAGCTAACAAACGATATCTTACGAAACGTATGCGAGAAAAGCCATAAAAGAAGTCAGTAGGTAAATAAAATTGATATTTAAAAAATGTCCAACAGTCTGATTGTCGAGCATACACACGCGTCGTGGTCGTGTTGCCGTCACACGAAAACAAACTATTTAGAAAAAAGGAACGTGACGAGATTGTAGAAGGTCAAATAATTTGGTAGTTCGGTACAAATGTAAAAACTATTTTTTTTCGATTTTATAAAAATCGAGAATGTTTGATTGAGTTGACTGCACAAGCCTTAGACCGGAAGCTTCACGAAATTGTCTGCACAAGGGATATATTTTCACCTAGGATAAACTACTGATAAGCCCCAAAGCCGCAAATCAGCCGAGACACACACATCGGGGCTCGTCAACGCCCTATGTCATCGGACAGACAGACAGTCAACCCGAAAGCCCCAAAGAGTCCCCAACCTGTCTAGGTCCGTTTTTTTCCGACAGCTGAATGACAGAACTCTGAAAAACCAGACTTTTCCGCCTGCTGGCTAACTGGCTGGCCGGGTGTTGTTTACGCCATCTGAGGGGCTGCCGAAATCGTGATCAATCGAGGTCAGTGTAGGAGGTCAGGTACACACACACACAAACGACATGTTTATATATGCATACATGTCAGTCTCCGTGTCAGTCCTGCTAAGCCTGCAAACAATGCGGGTTTACATGCTCGTGTTGGTCTGTGCAGACCTAGCCCTGACCTGTCCTTCCATTAGCCATGTGGAGGAGGAGGAGGAGATGGAGATGGAGGTGAACCAACCACCCTTTGAGTTGTGG